GGATGCGGCCCGAGCGCGGGCTCCACGTGGCGGCGCGGGCTCTCGGGCCGCGGGGCGCCGAAGGTGGAGGGGCTGCGCCGGGGCGCCGTGGGAGAGTGTTAAGCACTGGTTAAGGGCCTGGACACCAGCGTCCAGATCGTCGCAGCCCCTTCCAGCTGTGCAGACCCCTCGCCTCAGTTCTCTTAAGTTTCCCGTTACTCGGTGGTGTGAGCAGAGCCTGAGTTAGATAATTCACCTGGAGGCTTTCCCAGGGCCTGGCACTTGTTAAGCACCTAAACGTGAGCTGTTACTGGGGCTGAACACAAAGAACTTAAGACCTTTCCGTTGCCAGAGCCCATGAAACAGGCTGCTGGGGAGATATTAGGATCCATTTCCTTGAAGGTGCGCAGGGAGGGTGCCGGGTCCTAAGCTGGGGATGCTGTGGAGGGGCTTCTTGCCCTGGCTATAGGGCAAGGGTCCTTCCTGACTCTTTCTTGCGGGCGGGGCCTCCATGTAGCCATGGCGACTGTGCCAGACCACCAAGTAAGAGATGGGATCTCTGCCCTCAGGAAATTCAGCCTCCAGGACGCCTTGAAGTCGTTATCTTAGCCCCAAGCTCTGTTGACATGAACTAGGGGTCTGGAGGCCGAGCTTTTAAAAAGCCTGCGTCTCTCAAGTGGGATTAATAACCTTGGCCCCATTGACTTCCCCGGGTGTTGGGAGGCCTATGGGATAACATATAGAGAAATGCTCTTCTTATAGAGACCTTTACAGCATTAAGGCGGTGGTTTTCAATGCTTACTGAGCAGAGTTTCCCAGGGTGATTGTTAAAAATGCGTCTCCCTGGGGCTCCCCCAAAGGTTGAGTAGGTCTGGAGTCAACTAAGCAATCTGCAGTTTAACCTAGACCCCAGGTGATTCTGATGCCAGTGGTCCATGAACCACACCTGAGGAGCTGTGAACAAAGCATTGACTGTTACTAAGGAACTACCTTTTTGCTGTTAGTCTATATTCAGCGAGTAGTTGCTGAGTGGCCATGATAGGGTAGATACAGTACCAGGCGAGAAAAACCGTTGGTTACAGGAGCCATTATTCTCCTGGGCAAACTTTTACTGTTGCTGGTGTTTGGGAAGAAGTGTGTGGGGCGCTGTCCACAACGAGGACTCCAGTGTGGCATGTGGAAGAGTGCTTTGAAGTCAGGGAGGCCAGGATTTGTGTCACCATCCCCCTCTTGCTTCCTGAGTGACCTTGAGCAAGCCATTTAACCTCTGACTCATCTGTAAAATGGGGATAGTGGTCCATCCCGAGAACAAATGAGACAGCATATGCCCTGTGTACAGGACCTCCCCTGTCACAGCCTAAGTGCTCAGTAACTCCGTTCTCTTCCCTTACCCCAGTGGAACGCAAGTTTATGTTGGGAAAGGTTACTGAGGCTCATGTCTGGCTGGGAGGGTGAACCCAGGTGACACTGGCTCCCCTTTCTCTCCAGATGGTACCTGAGGATGCTGCAATGTTACCAGTGCAGGCAGTGGTTCCATGAGGCCTGCACCCAGTGCCTCAATGAGCCCATGATGTTTGGAGACCGGTAGGTGCTAATCTGGTCTGGCTCAGCCTTGGGTGTGAGGTGGGGGGACAGGGCAGAGCAGTAGCAACTCCTTCAGACTGCCTGCCAGACTCTAATGAAGTGGGGGTCTATGGGGGAAGTAGAGGAACATTCTGGACCACATCCCCAGTTGCCATTGACTTGTGGGGGATTTTAGGCAAAGCCCTACCTTCCATGAGCCCCAGTCTCTTTAAGTGTCTTGGGAAGGGGGAGTGACACAGGCCCTGCCCCATCCCTGCCCAGGATTGTTGTAGGAGCCACTGGGTAACTGCATGACTTGAGCCAGCTTCTAACCAATGGGGCTAAGCTAATGGGAGGCTTATGTGCGTCAAACCAGATGTGTGCCGTGGTGAGTGTGTGTGTGTGTGTGTGTGTGCGTGTGTGGCGGGGGAAAGAGCTTGACCACTGCAGCCCAGCCTAGCTCAACCCACTCTCTCTGAACTCAGTCACACCCCAGGGCAATGACACTGGGAAAAGGGGTTGAGGTAGGGGTTAGAAGGGGCAGGGGAGTATTTCTTGGTCTCTGTCCTGTCCTGCCCTGTCCTTATCCTGGCCCCCACGCCCCCAGCCGTGGGAATGAGAACAAGCTGATTATGGGAAGGCAGGTGGGAGGTGAGGGGTGAGGGGTAGATTAGGGTTTGGATTAGCCCCACCCACCACAAGCCC